CAATCAACGGTGCGATTTACACGGAAGTGTGCCTTAAGAAGCGTCTCTTGCCATTCATAAGGAAGCACAAATGATCAACTCTGTTTTGGCCTGGTCTAGCCACTACGCTCGAAACGTGTTGGAGTGGTACCGAGCCAACGGGGTCAATTTTGTGCCAAAAGATATGAACCCACCAAATTCACCAAAACATCGCCTAGTTGAAAAATTCTGGGCAATTATGAAGACGGAACTTCGCAAACATCCAAACACTTTTAAAACAGAGCTGGAGTTGAAGAAAATTTGAGTAAAAACAACAAAAACACTGGGGAAATCGGTTTAAAATTATGATGGGTGGAGTGATGGGGGATGAGAGACGAAATTGGATACAACAAATTTTGTAAATCATAACTCATTAGTAAGTTTTCATTCGCTGAAAATTTCAAGAAAATCCGATAATCGGTTTAATTTTGGTAAGCACATATCTGTGTGCAATTTTTATCAAATTAAATTAATTAATTAAATAACATGATAAACTATATAAATGAGCATTCAGGTTCAATAGTATCAATAGTATCGTAATAGCTTCCCAGTCTGAACATGGCATAAGTTACTACCTAAATACAGTATTTAAATTTCAACCAAATTTCAATTGTTGAAAATTGAAAAGCAAATACCTTATCCTTACCATCTTTGCTTTTTCATCGCCGTCGTCACCGTCGTCGTCGCCATTTGTGTCATATTAAAATGTAAACAACGGTTTCGTAATTTGCGAAATAATTTCCGCTACTGTGCACAAGGCAAACTACTGGTGCTCGCGAATTTTCACTTCTCGCGCAAAGCAGGAAACAGGTTTGATACGTATGTAGGTGTATAGGAAGCAGGAAGATACCGGGAACACACGGGAGCAACCAATAAAATAAGCACAATTTTCCCTAACCTGGTTTGTTGGCTGCAGCAGTTGTGGAAATTCGGAGAACAGCTAAATTAATTTTCATGCCCGCTCTGTCTTGTTCCAAGCACCATTTTCTTCACTTTTACCAACAGTGGTCCAGAATGGAAATTTAGCCGGAATAATTGTCCTGCATCTTTTGCTGTAATATTAAGACGTTTGGTATCTTTGGTGAAGTGTTTATGCTTGGAAAATCTCTTCTTTTGGTGGTTGTAAACATTAAGGGTGGCCCTTAAATTCATCGATTTTGAAAAATTATCAGTTGCTTATTTTTTTTAAAATAAAGGCATACGTTGTTCAGCAAAGCTGCTAAGTTAATTTAAAGTAACTTTGCTGAGCAAACATTAGTTTGTTGACGTAGGACTACGTCTTTAATGTCTATATGGGGGTACACTTAGTGAAAACCAAAAATGGAACATGTAACAAAATTATGAAAGATTTTGAACGTTAATAACTCAGCTTCCCCTGGACCACTTTCAATCATTTTACCACCAATCGATCAGAAATATTCCTACGCATCTGCAAAATTTAAGAATTCATCATTTTTTTTTCAAAATGTTACTATTGAAAATTGCACGAATGTGCAACTGTTGCTATAATAATTAAAATTATCACCGATTACCTGCGAAATGCGATTTCCCTAACACAGATTTCAAAGTTGAATTCCATCTGGTCAACACCAAACGGTGTTAATTCAATCACCGCGTGGTGAGTGGTGGTGTTCTCCGGTATACAACGAAAGGCTCCCTGCAAGCAGCTAGGTTGGATTCAGTTCCAATCACCGTGTGTGGTGGTGTCCGGTCGTCGACATCATCATCAGCAGCAGCAGTGCTTTTTAAGCGTGGCGCTGAACATTGTTCTCCAGAACACAACGATAGGCTGCCTGCTAGCAGCAAGATGCAGCCCACATGAGCGAGCATCCATAAAAGGAGGAAGAAGGCGCACCGCTATTGATCGGAATCAGTAGCTCTTCGTGAGTCGCTGTGGGTCATCTACGTCAAGCGCGTCATACTAAAGATTATAAACAGAGATAATCCCGCTGAAATTCCTATTCCTACGCAAAAAACAAGCGCCTGCTGCAGTTGAAAAATAAGATTTATTATATAAGACCACGCAGTCTTACGTCACCATTGCGTACAATCCCATAGGGCTGTCCCTTGAAGTTTTTTTTTATTAGTTTCTAAACGTTCCCTTTTTAGAGAAGTTTTTCGATTTTGAATAAGTATATAGTTTTTAGCTCTTAATCTTTTGTTTAAAATTCATCCCGAAAGCCATTTTTAAAAAACTTTTACGAAATACATTTTTTTGCAGAATAAAGTAAAGAACACGTGATTTCATCCATTATCAAATACACACTCATTTTTAAGCCTGCATTTGAAAGGGAATAGCATATATGATACAAAGTTTATTAGACATTTGTTAGTTTTTAAACATATATTAAATCAATTTTACTTAATTCATCTTTTTAAATATGTATAATTGAGAATAATTGCTGTATAAAATACAGACAATTTTTTTTTGCAAAGCATGCGTCGTAAGAAGCCTCAAAAGTTTCAAAATATGGTTTTCAGAGGGCCATCCTAACGAAAAATTTAATTAAAATGTGCTAGTACAAAGTTGCTTGAAATTATCTCAGCTAGAACTTTGCTGAAGATTGTATGCTTTATATTCAAAAATAAAAAATATTTTGACGCCCTAATGTTTACAACCACCAAAAGAAGGTACTTTTCAAGCACAAATATATCACCAAAGTCACCAAACGCAAAAGCTCTGGCATCACTATTCCTGCTAAATTCCCATTCTGGACCACTGTGCAACGTCGCAACATTGGTTGGCAGAAGCTTTGATCGCGAATGGGAAGGTAAAGTCATTCGGGGATGAGATAGGTATTTCTGGAAATTGGATTCGAGTGGTTGTTGAGTGGGATCGTCTTAACAAGGAGCATGACTTAAATTTCGTTTATTTATTTTAATTTAAGAGCTTTCCAACGCATAAAATTAGACTTTCGGATTCGATAAACACGGCTGACAGTGATAAACAGCAGCGGCGAATGTACCTTGAAGAACACCAAGTTTATTAGCTCACTATTTTTCAATTATAGCCGTGACCAAAAGTACGCAATCTGTACTCTAACCGATCGAAACTTTTATCATTCATAAAGCAAAGCACCTCCATGAAACCATCCAATTTCACTTTGGCCAACCTTTTTCCCCTTCCTCCAACCGAAAAAAAAAAATATCAAAGTTTGATTAGTTGATTAAACATTTCCACACCACTGCGTGTGCACCGTTTTCTTTCCTTACTGTGGAAAGGGTTCGATATTTTTCATCGCGATTCTAACTGCGTTGTTTTCCTTGTAAATTTTCACTCGAACAATCATCGACTTTCTCATTTGAATGAACCCGCCTGGCTTGCTTGACTGACATGACTCGCGCTTTGAAAACGCAACTTTGGGAACCGCACGGTAACTCGCAACAACTCAAAATTCAGTCGAACATGCTCATTTCAGCGGGACGTATGGCTATTCAAAAGTGAGTAGGTGGACTTCTACACACTTTTGAGCAAACGACGTTCTCACGCAGAGTGAGTCAAAACCACTCTGTGATATTTTCAGCCGGGCAGCTTGTTTTTTTTTTAAATTTGTTTTGATAAAAAATGGAAATTACCTGCTTCAGATTCATTTAACTTCCTTTATACATTTCGGCCGGTGTTTTACAATAATTTCACCGTTTCTTAGAGCGTTTGCTCCGACACGGCTGACATTTCTCGTTTGCTGAGATTTTGACAACCTAATGCATCAGACGAAATTGAGTACGATCGACTCACCCGGTTAGTAAGCTGAAGCAAGCATGTACCACTCACCTTACGGTTTGTTCATAAACTACGTAGACACATTATACGGTTTATACAAATGAAAACTAATATGGCAGATTGTCTACGCGGTGAAAGGGGCGTCTAGAACATTTCATAAATGATCAACATAGCTTATGAACAGTCCCTTCCTACTTTTGCGGAAGGATTTTTTTTAGGGTTTTTGATCTAATTTCCGCCCTACTAAAAGCACAACCCGCGCTTTACATCTCTTTTCTGAACGAGTTTAAACAAAAAATGGAACATTTCTATCAAAGATGACTTCTAAATTTATTCATCTTTCCATATGTAAATACCGTGATAAGGAGTCACAAATTGTTGAGATATTGTTCAAAATCTAATACTGCTTCTTGATTCTAAATTCGTTCTACGAGTTTCAATTCCGTCCTAAAGTATTGAAACTCCATTAGATTTTCTTCGTCCTACGGATAAACGTAGAAAAAGGGGATTTGCTAGGAGCGCTTCTTTTGTTTTGAGAACAATGAGCGTAAATATTCATACAATGCGCTCTAACAGGGTTGATGTTCTAGCTAATGAACTAGCGCATCGGAACAAACCGATTATTGATTTGTGCACGGTTAAATCATTGATATTATTGATTTTTTCTGATCGATAGAACGGAAATGAGCGATTACGACGAAGTAGCGCTCTACCCTACCTGAGCAGAGTTTTGGAGGACTTTTCTACACCATTACTTTTCACACAGGCGAAGCATGATTGTTTGCTGGCGAGCCCGGTTTAATCACTATAATTCATACTTTATTGAGCTTTGAGTACCTATCCCAGCAGAGAAAAGGTACGATGGCAGGCGAGTGGGTTTTCAACTGACTGACAGCGTACGCAGTTAGGTGCCTAAGGTACTTGAAAGGGAACTGTGCTTGAGCACGAACTTGTAGGTGGTTGAGGGCGGAGTACAAAGAAAGTTGAATTGCCCGATTTTGATGAGTTGTTGCTTGATTACCGGTTCAATGACTGATTGGTGAAAATGTGTTTCCTGTTATAGCGCATTTCAATGGGCGTTGCGTGCTCGGTGTGCAGTGCAATGGATTTCAATTTACTGTTGTAACAGTTCGGAGTGAGAGTAAAATATTGTAACATTTGAAATAAACATTAAGTTGTGTTGTATTTTGCCGGATATGAGGTATGTTTGATCCCTTAAATTTAGAAAGATAAATATATGTCACAAAACAATTAGACTCACTTGTTCTTGTGAAGTTCCTTCTTCGAGACGCAAACGGCCGTGTAAGCATCCTCCAGTAAACACAACTCTTTCTTTTTGCAGTTTAGTGGTTTACATAGATCACCTGGAATGGAAACAGATGGTAATGGAGATCAGTTAGAAGATTTAATATGGCTAAGAAAGGGAAAGTTGTCGATTAATCGTCATGGACACCATCGTAGATTATATAAATCCTTAGTCAAGAGTTTTTTAAAAATGTTGAGATACGTACCCTTTTGCATTTATTTTCTTTTAAGCTTGGAAATATTTATTGACGCAACAAGTTTGAATGTATTTCAGCACGAGTCAAACTAAAAAAAGAGTGTTGATAATTAAAATTGAAATTTGCAACGATTTGCTTACAACATTTTTTGCACTCCAAAGAGTGTCGAAAAGTTACACTTTTCGGAACTGAATTTACTTAAGCATTCCTCACAAAACCTTTGAGTTACATTTCAGAATTACTTTCTAGTCTTCTCGAAATTCCTTAAGAATACTTTCCAGAATTTCCTTAGAATTCTCTTTGAAATGAGCATTAAATTATCCCAATTCTTATCGACATTCCATTGAATTTGTTTCCTGTAAGTTCATCAAATTTCAAGACAGATCTCAAGTTTTTCTCAAGCTCAGATCTTAAGTTTTCTTTCAAGCTCAACGTTTTTAAACTAATGTCTTAATCTTTCTCTTTCTGAAATTCAATCTTGTTATTCTTTCAGGCCAATGTCTTGAGAAGTGCAAGCTTGTGAAGTTTTAGAATTTTAGGTAATTTGCACTTGTTACAAATATTGCCATAAATGTAGCTAGGTGCTTCTTGCTCAATCAATTATTTAAAACAATATATATCAATATAATATATGTCTCTACTTACGGGTACGTCCCACCGGTTTTGGCCTTTCATACAGGAGTATGATAAGTATGATAAGAAATTAAATCTTGATCAAGTCATGTAGTAGGAACAGTCCAATACTATGTGCAGGCGCCTTGCCATCATCATCATCATCATCATCACCATCATCATTATCATAATAGAACAACTTCAACATAAAAAAATCGGCAAGTCTGATATTTGCACACATATAAGAATAGGTTTTTACCGATCATTTGTGACCTCGATTGAAATATTCGGTCTAGAGCAAATTTTTTTAAAGTTCTTTTTAGCATGGTTTTACAATGGTAGCTTTTGAATATCCAAGGCATTGGTAGTAAGAGCCCTTTTGATTAAAAAAGGGACAGCATATCGGTGGAAAACATGCAAAACAGAAGAGTAGAGAAACCGAGGTAAGAAGAGAAATCGGAGGATAAGTAGAATTTCGATTAAATATAATTCGCGATTGTATTCAAGTAACAATTTTACGCTAATGTTTGTTTGCGTTTATTTAAAGGCAAGTTTCGAACACCTCAGCAAAACGGTCAAGTACCTATACACTTAGTGGTTTCTACCGAGCTCGGTTGTGCAAATCTCGGCAAAACAAGTTTGACTGAGATCTCAGCAAAAGTGACATTTGATTACTGAGTCTCGGATGATGCATAGCTGAATCTCAGTCGCTAAATTAAGTTAAGGATAATAAGAGAAAAGTTAAATTGAATCCTTACATTTCTGAAAATACTGCGTGGTCCATCAGATTTCAACCAAGTCATCTTCTCCAGTAATTTGTGGCAGTTTCTACCTGTAAAGCCATACTTGCTATGATGTTGACATGAAATTAGATACACCCACTGTTCAGCAGTTGTTGGACTAACAGCTTCAACACCTTTGTAAATGGCGTTTATGATCCCAAGTACGATATGGAGCACGGGTGGTGGACAAAGCAGAATAGTTCTTTGATTAGGAGCTCCACACAACATTGGTTTTTGAACGCAATTATACAAATTCTTTGCTCGTTTATCATCAGCACCATCAGTCTTCCACTTTCCGTACCTTGTGTTTATCAAGTCCAACGTTCTTGGAACCTTGCGCTATTGAGAAAGCATGGACTTACTTGTGCAGCAATATGGACAAGGATAAGTTGAACTGTGACCCATAATAACTAGCAAAAGATTGATGATTTTTTAGGTCACCTGCGACAATTGCTTCCAATTTGTCCAACGCGAGAAGTGTCGACCAAACTTGTACAATATTGGTGTTTTTTTCCGGAATGCTGGATATTACTGAAAGAAGAAACAACTTATTTATTCTTGTATCTTTAGATCCATTCCCTCTTTTTCGCTCCTTTTCTACGATAGATAACGTAATCTTAAATGAGCCTCCTCCCCCATATGCTCCGAGCTTATAGAATACATCGGTATTATATAGAAATCGTTCATGTTCAATATACTCGATTAAAACCTTCACGCCGTTACAATATATGACTAGTTTCATCAAAACTCTAGGAAAAGACCCCTTACTGGTCTGCTCAAATTCAAATGGAAGATGTGTAACAGAAAAGAACTCCTTGAGCTTCTGGTTCCTATCTTTTAAATTTTGGGGAAGATAAGAGGGGACTTCGATGTCCATTCCTCGGAGGACACTGCATAATTGCAATGTTTTCCTTGTGCTCAAATTGCATTTGGTTTTTATAAGGAACAAGTCATCAACAGATAGAATTTTATTACTATGGGAAGTCGATGATATTCGGTGACCTCAAATGTTCTGGAAATACCACTAACGAAAACCACCAGCTGGCCAGTGTCTGAAATGTCCGTACTTTCGTCCAATGCCACCGAAAAATAGACAAAATTTGCAGCTCTTCCCTTCAACGTATTTTTCATATCATCAGTAATTTCTTCAACTCTACGAGTAATTGTAGCTCGCGATAGAGAAATTTGCGAAATAACTCGATTTTGGTCAGAACATACTGCTTCCAAACAGTCTTTCACAAATTCACCATCCGTAAAAGATTTTGAACGTTTTGCTATTTTTCCGCAACAATGTAGCTGATGGCTTTAATGCGAATTTCACTTTCAGTTTGTTTGTTCATGTTTTGCTGACATCGCAGTTAATCTTTAAGTTCACTTGTCTTCACGGTATTTTCCAGGAAATTTGTCCATTTTCGAAGCATATGTTGTATCGTGATGGCGTTTTAAATTGAACTTCTTCGCAACCGCCACTGATTCATTGCAAATTAAACATACCGGTTTTTGATTAATTGCAGTAAAAAATACATTTCAGTCCACTTTTCTTGGAAAACTCGTCCTTCATCTTCAATCACTGGTTTTTTGCCAGCCACTTTGGGAGCGATGAACAAATGTCTGAGCAAAAAAAAAAGTATACCACCGAACTGGCGCACGCATGAACAGTGTTGCCACATTTTTTTCAAGTTTCAATCTGTGTTTTCATAACAAAAAATCTTTGTAATCTGTATCTGGCTGACAAAAATCTGTAAAAAATCTATATAATTTCTTCAAAGTTTTGAATCTTAAGAATATACTAAAGTTTGCTTTCTAAAGAATTAATCCAACTAGAAAATCCTACAATCATGAATTTTTAACGAGATTTGAATATTTACAATACTGAAATTACTAAAAATTAACTTTCAATAGTGAGCGACAAATCTGCTTCCGACTGAAATGAAGTAACAATCACATTTCCCAAGAATTGGTTTTTGGTCTGAGATTATGAAAATCTTTTTCTGGCCATTGCTTTTTTTTAAACTCTGTAATCCTTATTTGTTCTTTGTTTTCTAATATGGCGCTATTCAAATTTCAAAATTTCCAGTTGACTCTTAGAGGAAGTTTGCTAAAATGGCTTGTTTCCCCATTTTTGTCGGTTACCATGGGACATGGTTAATTAATCAATAAGAATGGGAATCTATTATTGCTCCCAACGAGAGATCTGAAATCAGGACATCTTAACATCTTAAGTACCTTAAAAATTATTGAAGATAATACAATAATGTTTTATTTTGTGAAAAATACGGTTTGGATTTGATGCTGAATGAATTCAAGCTGCTCAAAAAGAAGAAATGATTATTTATCGAAATAAATAAATAAAATATATTCCACTTATTGGGAAAATCTGTTTATTTTCTAAAAATCTGTAATCTGTATATACAGATATCTGTATCAAAATATTGAACATAATCTGTATGATAATAGATAAACTGTGTATGTGGCATCACTGCGCGTGAATGATAAATGGGAAGTAGCAAGTAGGAAAGTAGAATTTGAGAATCATTCTGCGTTCCGTTCATTATGGCTCTCATGAATCTTCAATGTACATGAGAAAAGAGAGGAAATTAAGCATTCTCTCCTAGTTCGATAATTGTACGCTGCAGGGTTTGAAGCTCGACGAGAAGAAGAGAATAAAATGTTTTTGTGAATAAAGCGAGAGCTATAATAATTTCAGCATGGACGAGTGCACCGATCACTCGAGAATAAGTGACACAAGCTGCGGGCAGTATTTACTAATCATGAACACTAAATGTTCATGAATAATGAATAATGAACATGCAGTATTCATTATTAGTAAACATTGCCCGCAGCTTTGTCACTTTTTCTCGAGTGAGTGAACTCAAATTCATCGGTGCACTCGTCCATTGACCGATGGTTTCGTCGAAATGCATGAAAACAAGCTTTTCCATATGAAGCGTTCGAGCAGCATCAAAAACGAGTTCTTGTTGATCAAAGCAAGTAGGGGAATTTACGTATTCTCGGCAACCTAAGCAGCGACCTTCTTTCTATAGCCTTTTTCTCTATGGAACGCCACATATGCAGTATTGGTTTGTTTACAATCTTTTGCTGCCAGCTGCTCTAACAATTTCAGTCGAAAGAATTGTCAAAAACTGTTTTGAAACGCTTTTACAAAGCTCCAATCTTCTCCAGTGAGAGCGAGTATTGTCTGCAACCAGTTTTTCTTCGGCAACCGTTCCATTTGAACTGCATGTAAATCTGCTGTTCTATTATCGGCAACTCGAAATCAGCTAAAAATTGTAGTGCGTGTGTTTCATTTCAAGAAAACCCTGCTAGATTGCTTTTTCTCATTGGTAAAAATATAGTCAAATTGAAGCTGAAAGCATAAAGAATCGTTTGCATGTATTCAGCGAAGTGTTTTCGAAAGAAAATCCAGTGAAAATAGTGTTTCAATTTGGGTTGCCGAAAATAGTCTGT